AGTAGATACTAGCAAACCAGTTAAATTACTCATTGTCTACCAATTAATTCAGCACGTGGATTACGCATTCGTCTACTTCACATAGTAGAGGCGATTGCAATCCACCTTTACAAACCCAACCTTTGTATTCAAAAGAAATATATTGAACCACTTATATTACTGTGACCACCAGCATGACATAACCCCAATATTCTTTTGTATCCCTCGCCCTCCTCCTGTCCCATCAATATTCTTTTCCTTTCATATCCTAACATAATTACTTGTTGTTTATGACTGACCCCTGGAGAAAAGAACGACCCATTTATTTTACCAGTTGTTCTGCATAATAATAGTAATTATTTGTATCTTGCTTTCTCATTTTCATGACATGTAAAATCTACAATTATTGTTCATCAACTCCCCCCACCATTTGATAAGTACTTTGATTGAATTGTAAGCTTGTTTATTAGTGTGGAGACCCAACTGAAAAGGAATATATTTCTTGACTCAGTCAGTATTATTTTAAAATAGATTTCACCGTTAACTGATGTCATTTGGAGAACCCATCAGTAACAAGGGGCATATGACAACTACTTTTTTAGTGTAGGACTTCTCAGTAATGCACATCCACAAGTTAGATAGTGAATAAAACTGGTAAGCATTGGTAAACATTTTACGATTAAGAAACTAGATTTAAATCCAATGGTCCGCTTCTTAACTTCTATCATTTCACAATACGCTGTAAAATTCATGGGTAATAATCTGAAGTTACTGGAATTTCAAAAGTAAAATTAATATCATAAAACTTTTACATTGGATATTAAACGAAACTGATCCTTGTGAAAATTAAATGTTCTAAAGGGAATTCTGACGCTCACTGTTATTTTTGATCAATTACCAAATGGAATTTAAATTCCTTTTCCATTAAAAACACAGATGTTACCGTTTTTGAGAATCTAACTAACGATACCTGAACACTGCTATCAGAGACCAAAACATTTGGTTTGCCTTACAGTATAATGATAATTTTCATGAGTAAAACTCTTTTCCCGATTATTTTCTCCGTGAACTATTCTCTTTTTCCCTAGCTAAATGACTTTCTTGCATTGGTAACTATATCATCTAGGTTTGTCACGATTCATACATTCTCGAGCCATACCTTAATACCATGTCAAAATTTCGTATTACCATACCAGTAAATAACCTTGCCTGGTTAACTAGTTCACCAGTTACTAGCCTGTCCGAAGCCCGGGTAAAGAGGGAAGGTTGGGCATACCACTAGCAACCCTATCCCGTAAAACAAATCTAACCGCTAAACAAACTTCAAAACACAAACAAAATATAAAAGATAATAACAAAATTATTCCTCGTTGGAGAAAGCCTTCGGGAAGCCAGTTGGCCGGGCCGATGTGTCTTTTCTCTCTCGATGAAAGCGAAAGTAAATGTGGGGACATGGAATATCCGCACAATATTTGAACCCAGCAAGGCAGGCCACATTGCAAACGAGATGAGGAGGTATCACATTGAATTGCTTGGAATTTGCGAAAGCAGATGGAATGGGAGTGGACTCTCCAAACTGTCAACTCGAGAGTCAATAATCTACTCCGATATTGTCACCCAGATGCCAACCATGAGCACATTGAGTCTGGGAGTGGCCATCATGATGTCCACAACAGCATCGAAGGCTCGCTCTCATGCAGTGGGAACCAATCTCCTCCTCCACGATCAGGATCATGACACCAAGATGGATTCAACTCAAAAGGAAGGAAAGTCACAATCATACAATGCTACATCACACACCTACAAATAGTGCAGAGCAAGAGAAGAAGGAGGAATTCTACAGACAACTGCAATCAACACTGGACAAGACTCCACCCCCAGTTGGCCACATCGAAATTCTAATGGGTGGGGTGACATGAATACGAAAGTGGGAGTGGACAACACAGGAAGAGAACTGTGCATGGGTTGAGAAGCGCTCGGTGAGGTGATGAACGAGAATGGAGAATTGTTTGCAGAATTCTATGCATTCAACGATTTGGTGATTTGAGTCAGGTAGTGTGTTCAAGCACAAGGATATCCGCAAAGTGAGCGACATGGATTTCACCAGATGGACACACTAAAAGTCAGATCGACTTCATCTCAATGCGAATGAAGTGGAGACGCAGTCTACTTAACACAAGGTCAAGAAGAGGAGCAGATGTAGGTTCAGACCACTACATAGTGCAAGGAACCTTCTGAATCAAGTTAAAACCCTTCACGAAAGCTGGTGGTAGACCTCTGTTCAAGTACAACACTCGGAAACTGAAGGATGAAACTACAAAGGAGATCTTCAAGGCAGCCATCAAGACAAAATAGGAGATATCGAGGAACATCCCTGAAGAAACCTGTGTGGAAGAACACTGGAAGTCTTTGAAAGAGATGTGGAAAGAAACCTGCACAACCGTATTAGGAAGGAAGAAGAAAGAAGATAAGGTATGGATGTCAAAGGATACATGGAAGCTGATAGAGCAGGGAGATGAGGATGGTGGAGCGGAAGATAAACCAGTGCAAGGATGCACAACGACAAGAGGAACTGAGTACAATGTATAAAACAATACACTGGACAAAGAAGTGAAGAAGAGTGGGTGGAAAGACAAAAGACACTTCTACGAGACACTGGCAAGTGAAGCGGAACAGGCCGCAGGTAATAGAGACCTGACGACATTGTATCAAATAACCAGGTTGCTATCTGGTAAAGAAAAGATCAACGCAGACGAAGCCAATAAAAGATGAAGGAGGAAATTTAAATACCAAAGAACAGAAACAAAGGAAACAATGGGCGGAACACTTCAAGAAGCTCTTGAATCGACCACCACCACCACCTGCACTTCGTACAGAAATACCACGTGCAGCCGCTGAACTACAAGTGAACATAAATCCTCCAACAAAGGTGGAAGTCCTGAACGCCATAAAGATACTGAAATGTGGGAAAGCAGCAGGACCAGATGGGATTCTACCAGAAGCACTGAGAACAGACTCAGAGACAACAGCCGACATGCTCACACCACACCACTCTTGCAGAAGGTGTGGAAGGAAGAGAAGGTACCTGACGATTGGAAGAAGGGTTACCTTGTCAAACTGCAGAAGAAGGGAGACCTAAGTGTTTGCAAGAAGTGGCGCGGAATCACTCTCCTGTTCACCCAAAGCAAGCAAAATATTCAGCCGCATCATCCTGGAGAGAATAAAGGATGTGCTGGATTCAAAACTACCACCGGAACAAGCTGGCTGGCTGGATTCAGGAAGTACAAATCATGTGCCGACCAAATTGCAATACCATACTACGCATCATCATAGAACACAGCATAGAATGGCAGTCAACTCAACTCTGCCTCAACTTCATCGACTTTGGAAAGGCCTTCGATTGAGGCGTCGACCGAGAAGTAATTTGGAAACTGCTTCAATAATACGGAATACCACAAACCTTTATCAGCCTCATTCAACAACTAGCTATATAAAGATGCCACATGCCGTCCAAGTAGTTCACAATGGGAAGCTCAGTGATGCTCTTGAAGTGAAGACAGGAGTGAAACAAGGCTGCCGCCTACCATCACCCATGATATTCCTGATTGTGGTCTACTGAACTGGATCATGCAGCAGACAACAGTGGGGAGCGAGAAGAGGGGGCAAGGCTAGCTGGACCGCGGAAAAGAACCTAGAAGACTTGGATTTCGCCAAAGATGACTGGTGTACAATGTCACACAAACTGGAAGATCTACAGACGAAAACTGACAAGTTGACAGAAGAGGCAGGGCAGGGCAGGGCAGGGCAGGGCAGGGAAGGGCAGCGAAGATGAGACATCATTCAAGTGGACGTAGAGAAGACAGAGGTGATGAAGATAACCAACCAACAACAACAACAACAAGCTCCAGTCACCATCAATGGGAGAAACTTAAAGGAAGTAGCCTCCTTCACCTATCTAGGCAGCACTGTTTCAACTACAGGCGGCACAGGCACAGACGAGGATGTCAAAGCGAGCCAGGATCGGAAAAGCAAGACAGGCTTTCATAAGTCTGAAACCAGTGTGGAGATCTTCTGCACTCAGCATAAAGCGTGAACAACATCCGGATTTTCAACACCAATGTCATGTCAAGTCAGTGCTTCTGTATGGTTCAGAGAGTTCGGGGCACGTTACGAAAAGCATTTCCAACAAACTACAGACATTCATCAACAACTGCCCCCTACGCTGGCTCTCTGACTGTCTGTCAACATTTCATTCGTCTTCTATGACACTGTGAAACAGTATGATTAATTAAATTTAGACGGATGGTAGATATTAGCCTTAGCACAATGTACCATCTTGTCTTCATAAGTTCATATGACGCAAAGTAGTAGAAATTTCCTGGAGAAGTGACGTGAACTTAGCTTTGTGTTGATTTTAGTATGAAAACAAATAAATTTTAAGTACTATAAGGAAGATTATGTCATGAATAACACATAGATTGTCCCAGGCATAACTAATGACAAACATTAACTACTTCAGTGAAACTTCTGTTTAGACTACAAAATGATTTTGTTACATAAAATATTTTTGATGAACGTAAACAATTTCCTTCACCATTTAAGTACTCTTATCACCATGAAGTTCAAAAAGATCGTTATAGAATTCAGAGAGACACCTATCACACAGTAAGTATAATCAAAACAGCATTCTTGTCAATATCTACTCATCCGTTGAATTCCTTCAGACTTATAGATGAAATAAGAAGCTGTTGCCCATCTGTCACATGAAATCTGCATATGCAAAATGAACAAGCAACTATAATTTTAACTTCGAAAGCAAGTGAGACTCTAGACGGCAGCTTGGCCTCAAATTTGAGTAAGCTGAACGCTAGGCCACTGACTGGACCCCTACCACAACCCAAGTTTTCATTCTACCTATAGTCGATATCAGGTATCAACAACACTAACCTGCCAACCAATGGCTATCTCAGGTACTCTAAATGGTAAGTTTCAGCAATTTTTTTAATCTTAAATTGTCAGTTATGCAAAGCAATATTACTACTACTACTACTACTACTACTACTACTACTACTACTACTACTACTACTACTACTACTACTACTACTACTACTACTACTACTCACACTACTACTACTACTACTACTCACACTACTACTACTACTACTACTACTGACAATAATAATAATAATCAACAGCCAGATGAAACATCTCTCTGTAACTAGAATACTAAGGTCAAGGTATACCCATTGAGTTGTATACTTATCCTGTTTACATCCTTTATTCACGTGATCACGGTTATCAGTTGAAAAGTACACATAATTTCTCCCCATATATGTATACTTTTAAATCATGTTTATTACTGTTCTGTAAAGTAATGTAGGTGGTATGAGTACCATTAACACCTAAAAGGACTGTAGTGAATCCAATATGAACTGATATCACGAATTAACCTTTATCAACACTCATCTGGAAAGACTAACTGATCAATCACTGTTGGTGCATAAGTTTCTTGTAGTTGATGCTTGAATATCTCTCTCCAAGATGTTTTGGTTGTATTTAATCCAATATGTTAGCGCGTAATTCCATATCAGATTGTTTATTTGGTATTGTATATAGTACCATTTATTGGACGATATTTCTATAAGAAGTTAGTGCTCATATCACTCTGATATGATTATGAGCAATAAATTCTTCACAAAACATCATCCAGTAAATAATACTATGATACATCAAGCCAACAAACTATTATGGAACATATTTATCTTATTTGAAATGTGGTTACATTTTGTATTTGTGATTCCGCTGAGATTTGAACCCATCGTCGCTGATCTCAAGAGTTTACATAGTTACCCAATAGGTCATTGAACCAATATACTCATCTCTTTTTCGACAAGTTACATATATGCTTATTTATACTTGGCTTTTGGAGTTGCTGAATGCTATAAACAACCCAGGAATGATAAAAAATATACTTAATCAGGACACAAATAACAGGTGACTGAGGTATGTGGTGCAAGGAGTCTACTTGTCAACGCAGACTAATCAATTCACTACTATGGATTTGAGAGGTGCCAATAGTGACTCAGTTGTCTAGTGAACAATATTCTGAGCCCAAGTCTAATTGAAATCACTAACATGGTGTGTCCTACAGCCAATATCGACCTTGTTAATTTCGAATCGAAACAGACACTCATTTTAGCTCCCAGTTCTATCACCTATCAAGTATAGGCTAAACGAAAATTAACCAGAACAACAGAATATACTTTAATCGCCTGTTCTTTCAAAATACAGAAACGACAGTGATATGTGATTCATGAAACTTATTTTCACTAAACATAGATTAGTGGTACATTGCCAAGTGAACATCTGAGATTACCGAATACAGTAAAGATTTTGATAGAGTTTTAAAAATCATTTAAAATAACCTCAGTTACATGCATACAGCTGTGAAGAAAAATTAACTCGTCAGAAAAATAATAACATTAAAAAATTGGTTAGCTTGTTCATTCTGTGCTCAAAATGCTATTCCCCTTCAAACAATATTGACATGTGTTGCAGACATCATGACTAAGGTTAATATCCTTTCTGGGGTAATGTTCAGAGTCAATCATTATATAGCTCAGTTGGCAGAGCACCGGGTTAGTAACCCGATGATCGCTGGTTCAAATCTGGCTGCGGTCCAGATTTGCATCTCACCTTCAATCATCACCCAGTGCAAATATTAGTCTGCCAAACTATGGCTATCTTAGATAGTCAAATCACAGCTTCTACAGTTATCATCCATTTACTTACGACTGCTAAATGGAAGGTCATTAGACTGAATGAAGTATTTTATTACGCAGCAGTTAAACGCTAGACAGTAACCGAGGTCATAACTCAGTCACTACTACTATGAGATAATTACCGTTGAAATCTCTGCAGAGTTGATTAACGTGTATTCACATTTCAAGGAATAATGACCAATTTCTTCAAGCACTGATAACAACTGACATTTTCGTAATCTGCAGTACCAATCACTTTGCATTTTCAGAAGTTACTGATATCTTACCACATCAGTCCATACCACAAACATTCCTAACATCTGATAAAAATAACTCTGGCATTATATGTTAGATGTTTATTGATAGGAAGCCGTAGGTTTTGCTCCTTCTACAGTTTATTTGCCAGATACTACCCTGCACTAGATCTAGTGCCAAAACACGACGCATTGCAGTATCGAGTCAAAGCTTATCAGATGCATTATAAACTTGACCGAAGATGACACCTATATTCTTCTTCCTCAATCAGGGATATTTACCTTCTTGTCTGATACCTGTACTTCTATTCTTATTGATTTTTGAAGTTGCAACTTTTTTCTTTTTTACCCTTTCTACCAGTGCTTTCTATTCGAAGTGTACACTAATATCTTCAAGTTCCTACACCTGTAGGCAATTTTATCTTCGAACAATGATTATTCCTCTGTCTATCTTGGGATTTTAGCAACTCACAGCAACTAAGTAAAGTAAAATGAATTCAACCTAGTCCCTGAAATGTCTTCGAACTACCCAGCTAAAATTGACCACTGAAAAGATGTTTTCAACAGGTTCTAGACGCTATGTTTTCAATCAGTGTTGATAAGAGGGAATGCTGAACAGAAGTCTTTCAAGTCATTGCTTTCAAACGTGATGGTACTGAATATTCGAATCTGTAAGACAGGTGGATATAAATCGAGGAGAAGACTAATATTTTTACGGACTCACGTTTAGCATGCCTACAGACTACTTCTATGCAATACCTAATTCTGACAACATAAAGGATGTGTGACCATTAACAATCGCGGTGTTCATATCTCACTTATTAATGCATAATCAAATAATTAAATTCAGATGGTTTTATTGAGTCAGTTACGTTTTCATTATATTCCTGATAGTGATGGACTGGATCATGCAACAAACAGTGAGCAGTGAGGAGAGGGGGACAGGCTAGCTGGACCGCGGAAAAAAACCTAGAAGACTTGGATTTCGCCAAAGATGACTGGTGTACAATGTCACACAAACTGGAAGATCTACAAGCGAAAACTAACAAGTTGACAGAAGAGGCGAGGCAGGGCAGCGAAGGTGAGGCACCATTCAAGTGGACGTAGAGAAGACAGAGGTGATGAAGATAACCAACCAACAACAACAACAACAAGCTCCAGTCACCATCAATGGGAGAAACTTAAAGGAAGTAGCCTCCTTCACCTATCTAGGCAGCACTGTTTCAACTACAGGCGGCACAGGCACAGACGAGGATGTCAAAGCGAGCCAGGATCGGAAAAGCAAGACAGGCTTTCATAAGTCTGAAACCAGTGTGGAGATCTTCTGCACTCAGCATAAAGCGTGAACAACATCCGGATTTTCAACACCAATGTCATGTCAAGTCAGTGCTTCTGTATGGTTCAGAGAGTTCGGGGCACGTTACGAAAAGCATTTCCAACAAACTACAGACATTCATCAACAACTGCCCCCACGCTGGCTCGATATTGAAGACCAGATGACCAGAATAATAAGAATCAGCGACAAGGAACTGTGGTGTGGTAACGAACCAAACAAGAAGCTATCGCTGAACAAATATGCAGTTGAAGGAAGTGGAGGTGGGTTTGGCTTGCAGTGAGAAGACCTTTCGGGGACATCACGCACCAGGTAGTCCAGTGGAACTCTTGTAAATGGGAAGCGACGAGTTGGGCATCCCAGTTGAGGGTGACATGGAGGAGATCATGTGAATGAAGAAATGAGAGCTTATGAGCAGTGGTGGAGCCATGTTCAAAAGATTTCAGAGAACGGAGAGCATTGGAGACGTGCTACTGAAGCCTTATGTTCCACTAGGACCCAAGGGACAAATAATAATTAATGAAGATAATAATAGCAGTAAATAAATGGAATTAAAACTGAATTTGTTATTCGATATATGACATAAAGAATCACAGCTCAGTGATGATTATTTTCTCTAACGGGAATCGAATGAGAAACTGAGCCGATGCCGATACTTTTGATATTAGTCTTGAGTAGCCAGAACTTACATTTACTGATTATATTATTGTCTGATTCAGCATAAAATTTCATAAAGTTGGTTCTGTTCGGAAATGAGCTTCAGATGCGAGAAAAAAATAAGATTTGATACTTTCGATGAAGTCATTGCATTCCGTTTTGTCTCTTACTGCATACGAGCTAATAGTTGAAAATAATTTACACGGTGAAGAAGATAATTCCGTATTAAATTTGTTTATTTGATTTATAACACACAGTGATACAGTATTATTTACTTGATGACCTTTCGAGCATAAATTATTACTGCTCATAATCATATCAATGTAATCACACTACATTCAACATATGATTTTTATAGTTCTATCACCTCTCATTCTTTGTTTCTGTTGGTAGTAAAATTTTCCATATATCTGGTATAGGTGTTGCATCACTCCTATTACATGTGTTGAGTGTTGATTTAATGAACAAAGATTCAGTAATCAATCTCTCTCCACCTAATTATATTGGACTTAAGTACAGTGGCTTTATCCCACCCTATTATGTAGTTGTGTGTTAAGGCAGGAATAGCAATAGTCGAGTTTTTTCTAGATTATTGATGTTATTTAGGTCTGTTATTCGATATTTAGCTAAATTCCTGTGTTCGGCTATTCTAACTGACCCCGACCACCTAGTCTGATCTATGCACTTGATCTCACAGTCATTACATGGAATTGATAGATTATATTATTTTGCTTAACTGGTTCTATGGGGTCCTTAAGCCAACCGATAAAGTGGATTTCTGAGTGAGTTTATAGGTTTAAATGCCAGCCTAATTCCAGCTCTGTTGAGTATTCTACAGAAAGTTTCTGAGGTACCCTCTTTATAGGGTAACACAATGGAGGTTGTGAACTCCTTTTTACTTATGTTGTCCTAGTTAGTCGAACTCATGTGACTGTTATTTTTTTGTTTCTTGTGTGTCTGTAAGGATTTCTTAATAAACTGCGGAGGATAATTATTAACTATCAGTGCTTCTTTTATGCGTTTCAATTCCTTGTTTAGGTTCTTGCTCTGACTAGTCAGTTTTCTAGCTCTATCACTTAGACATTTGATTAAGCTTGCCTTAACTGACATTGGATGGAATGATTTGAAGTCTAGATACCTGTTGGAATGTGTTAGTTTTCTGTAGACAGTAGTATCCAAGTCAACTTCTGTTCGTTTTATTCTGCAATCCAACAAAG